CCTTCACTGTATTTTTTAAAAGGGGGATGGGCTGATGAGAGCACCTCCCTGCTACCTCACAACCAACCAACACACACGCATTTATGCACGTGCATGATGGCAGTATTACAAGAGGGTACACCCCTCCTCACGTCTCCTACTGAATCTATTATATAGCTATTAAAGATCACTGGAACAGGCCAATTACATTCACTTTACATGTCAGTATGTCAACCAGGTCAGTCACAATTGCAGTCTTTAATCTACTCAACAGAGACAAACCTACAGACATCGATGCCATTTTTTAGTAGTGCTGAATGGGTCCACTGTTATCACTGTGCACACACTACATACTTGTGTGTCATGTCATGTGTGAGTCCAGTGTGTGTGTGTGTGTGTGTGTGTGTGTGTGTGTCTGCTGACCGTCGCAACATTGCGGAGGAAGGCCCTGACGCTGTCTGTCATCTCTGGACCAGCTGCAGATCCATCAACTGCAGAAGGAGGGGGGGCTGGTGACCTGGTGGTCCGCTCTCATGGCAGGGAGGGGCTCACCCAGTAACCTGCCACAAGCCCAAACCAAGCAAACCAAGTGAGGGCAGGAGGCAATGCAGCAGCCTTTAAAATGCAGATCTAAAAAGCACAAGGCTCACTTCAGGAGGTAGAGCTGCTCTTTGTTTTCTCACACCCAGCTCTGCTTCAGTCACATCCAGAAGAATAAATTAAATAGTTTTTTACTTCTTTAATGTTGCTAATGCTCCACTACATGTTTGTAATCTATTACAGAGTGAAGCATGACATTAAAAACAGTATATTGCAAATTAAATCAAAATATCCTTCAGGGAAAAATATGCAGTTGGATATTTCCCCAGATTATTCAGCTCTACTTTTAACATGAATGAGAAAAATACTTGTAGTTTTGGGACAGTTCAACAATAAAGAGCTGTTGAGCACATTTTCCCACCCTGGGGAGGTTTGGTGGCCATTTTGTGCTGATTCACAGATGCTGTAACTATTAGTTTTAAAACACTCATTCAAGCCACCACATCAAGTACAAGTTACTAAAAACAACCATGTCAGTCACTTCTCTATAAAATACTTGTAAATGGTTTTAAGCTTGTCCTTTGTAGTGCTTATTATGTGGTCTTTTAGAATGCAAAAGTTGAATGTGAACCACACCACGGAAAACAAACCAGTTAGCAACTTCATGAATACACAGATAATGGAGTCCGACGGGATCCTGTGCCATCAGTCAGCTAACTGAAGTCAGCAAATCTGTTTATTAAATGCTGCTGTTGCCCTATTTGTTTAGAACAACACCTGAGTTTGTTGAATGGTAACCGTATACAACTGCAATGTCACCTCTCATGTTCTCAAACGAGCTTTCTAATCGGATGAAACGTTTATTCAGCAGCCAGTGTCTCTTGGTGACACTGTTTGAGTAATGGTCAACGTTAGCAGGGTTAGCTTAAAGAGGTGATAGCTCACACTCAGGGCGAGCTGGTTCTGTCTGACCAGCCCAAAACCCGGACGAATCTCATATATGAAGACCGTCCTTAAGTAGCCCAGTAGGCATGATGTCTCCGGTCTCATAATCTTTGACTTTCGGTGGTTTGTTGAGTGCTCTGCTAGCTTGTCTGTCTGTGTTGCTAGCTAACTGTTAACGCTCAACAACTACAGTAACTCTTGTGTTTGTCGTCCAGACAACGCCTCCAAGAGGAACAAAGTCAGAGACAGAGCCGGCAGCTAACCACGGCGTCTTCCTTACCTCATGCGACAGGCTCGGGGTTTTAATAACTTCGTTAATTCTTTGTTTCGCCCCCTTAATGTGACAACAACAAACACCAAACACCACCAGCAACCAGGGCCGTGGAAAACACATTGCGCAAGCTCCGACTTCTAAGGACTATGGGAAATGTAGTCCTCAATACTGGAGGGCGGTAGGCGAGACATGGAGCCTCTCATTCAGTGTTTCACAGAGAGAAATGCCTCATTAAACTCTAATGAAAATTATTTTTACGAGTATAATATTGTATTGCACTATTTACTATGCATCCAGTTGAGAATAACGTATGTTTTTAAGGTTTTCTAGTGTCTGAGCTGCATTATAGAACATTTCTGAGCTGCATTGACTTTACATAAATAAGTTTGTTTGTTTGTTTGTTAGCAAGATAACTCGAAAAGTAACAAACGGATTATCATGAAATTTTCAGGAAATGTTGATAATGGCACAATGAACAGATGACTACATTTTGGTGACATTCTGGCTTACCGTCTGGTTATTTTCTCATAAAACAGTAAATGCTGTTAAGTGTCACAGTCATGCAAAATGCTGTCGTTGCGCAGTTTGTCCACTAGATGGAGCTCTGACTCCATTCAGTCCTTCAGTTCTCACCGCTGTCTTCTCAGTCCAGCAGGAGGACGCTACAGCCAGGCAGCATCGTAGGAGTGGGCTGAGCGGAGCTACTGACAGATAAGTTTAGAACCATGGTGTGACACAACACAGTTTCATGGCAATTCGGAAAATAGTCACGAAACTTAATCTGTTGTTTCATGTCCTGGAACACGATTTGCCTGACTTTTTCGTGTTCCCCAGCATGAAATTCAAACCAATACATTTCAATTTGAATTATGTTTCGTGTCTGGGACACATTTTTTCCCCCTGTTAGACAGCACATATACTGGGATGTTTTTGTCGTTCTGTTCTTCCGACAGTCAGGCATTAAATTATATATTGAATATTGCACAAGTGATTTGTCAGCTGTGTTTGTCTCTGAATGACTAAGGAAGATCATCCGTGGTATTGCATAGATGACAATTGTTTTTAAAAAAAAATGTTAGTAAGAAGGCAAACTTAGAGTGATTCTAATTAAATATTCACATCAGCTTTGGTGCTGCTGATGGTAGCTGACATGATGTTTCACTAAAGAAAGGTCATGAAATCCTTTTGCCTCAACCTTTCAGAAAAGAGGACACTGATGAGGAGACAGAAGATCATTCCTACACAAATATAGATTCAGAAACTAGAACTGATCAAGCCAACACCTACATTGTGACAAAGCTACAGTATACAATATAAATAAGGTTGTTTGCTTTAATTTAGGTCTGGTTACAGAGGTGTAAAAAGTGGGGAGCGAGTTGCTGGACAGTTTGTAGGTAACATTAATCCAGCTTTCTTAGGTTTTTCAAACTGAGGAGGATGAATTTCTGATTCTGCTGCCAAATATGTTTGAGCACAGCAGAAATGTGTCACAGTTTGAGCGCTTCATTTGCAGCCACGTGGAGGTTAAACAGCTGCTTCTGTGAAACTAGCTGGAATCCATCAGATGAGGCTCTGCTTGGTTTTCTTAAATGGACCAAGTTTGTCTCTGTGCAGACATGGACAACTAAACCAAAAGAAGAGGCTGTTTACATGCTGCAGTAGCTACTGTACAGTTAAAAATCACATCTCAACAGGGTATTGGTGAATTTCAGTAGTCTTCTCTGGGTGCCTAGCAACAGCTCCACAACTAGACTCCACAAAGGAGGAGGACACCTGGGAGTTTGCATGTTCTCCCCGTTCTCTGCGGGTTCTCCGGCTTCCTCCCACAGTCCAGAAACATGCTGAGGTTAATTGGTGATTGTAAATTGTCCGTAGGTGTGAATGTGAGTGTGCTTGGTTGTCTGTCTCTAAGTGTAGCCCTGTGATAGACTGGTTACCTGTCCAGGTGAACCTGCCTTCACCCTGAGTCAGCTGGGATAGACTCCAGCCCCCCATGACTCGAGTGAGGATGAAGGTGTAGAGATGATGGATCGATAGTCTGCAAACTTTAAAAATGTTACCTTTGGACAGAGTTGAGGTAGCTCTTTTCCTGGCCTCCAGTGTTTATGCTAAGCCATGAGTGAATGGTCTCCTGGGTCCACATCCATACAAATAGAAAAATATCAGTGGTTGTTCTCCTACATTGACAGTGCACTACTCACACAATCTAGCTCTGAAAGCAGATGGGCAAGAGCTTCACACTTATCAATAACAATTTAAGCTGTGAAGGACAATGTATAATGTAAAGAATGTAAAGCTGAATGGCATTCAAGAAAAGCACATTTGCTTGCTATTTAGTATAAAAGAATAAAACTTTTTAAAAGATCATAAAAAAGTTGGGAGCACAATCTGAGGCCAAGATGTTTGGCTCAGATGTGGTCCAGCATATTTGGTGTGAACCTGGTGGGCACTACCACAGTGAATGCATAGTCCTCACAGTAAAGCACAGAGGTGGGATGACACTTGGCTGCATGAGTGCAAAAGGTGTTACGGAGATGGAATATATAGATGGCACCATAAATGCCTGTTGATATACTAAAATACTGGCTGAGAAGATGACTCCCAGACTGCAGTCACTTGGCACAAGAGGAATATTCCAGCATAATGATGATCCAAAGCACACAGCCAGAATCCCACAAGAACGTCTAAAGAAAAAACTATGGCCTAGCAAAGCATGTCGTCTGACTTCGATCCAACAGAACATCTTTGGGGTGTTTTGAAGAGAAAGACAGAGCAACACAATCCCTCCAGCAAAAAGCAGCTGGAAAAAAATATTCTCTAAGGAACGGCAGAACATCTCTCCAAACATTTGTGCAGCACTGATATCCTGCATGCCAAGTTAAAAATAAAGGTCGACACACAAAGAAAAAAAAATAACAGACTTAAGTCTCAGTCATGAAAGGTGAACTGGTTTTTGATGCATTGAGTTCCTGTTGTTGGGTCTGTATTTTATTATAGCAAATCCAAACTCACTTTAAAGAGCAAATACCCTACTGGTAAACTTATTATTGCAATTACTGTAAGGTAATCTGATTTTGAATTATTTGATATTTAAGTGATATTGCACAAAGATGAACTTTTATGTAAAAACAAATGTTCAAAACTTCATTATGTGGTTGCCTAAAAACTAAATTATATTATTGATGGATGTCGTCAAGTCTTTAAGGAGTCTATTTGCATTTAATTAAATCATATGAAACATCGTAGACAGAACATAACACATGAGTAACTAATGCAAAACGTTAATAAAATGCACTAGATCTTAATTACAATGCATCCCTAATGGCAAGTCCCATTTATTAACAGGCTATATCTGTTTTATCCTTATCAGTCTGGGGTTTGTTTTTCTGTATATGCTGTGACTTAACCTTGAGCACAAATGGACAAAACAAAGATAATCAAGCCGCATGAGATTTCCCAGTAACTGCTGGTAAACATAATGGGACCAAAATGTGCTTCCTAATGAAGTTTCTACTGAATTAAGGAACCGACAGACCCTCAGCGTTGGTGCCATTCAGCGTGCGTCATCATGACAATGTCCTGCTGGCTCACAAGTGTGCTAATCCAATACTGTGCTCGTCTCATTATTGATGTGAGGCCTGATGCAGAGATAACTTCTGTAATCTCAGATGTTCAGTCTCTCATTTTCACTGCGTTTATCTCTGTTTACTCGCACGTCATCATTTCCGGTGTTGCATCTCTACGGCACAAAGATAAATACGATCCTGCCTGCTGCACAAAAAGCTCCATTTTTGTTAAATCTTGGTGGTAGTAATTAGATTGTTATTGTTTTGGTGCGGCTACATGTCAGTGGAACAAACTATTCACTCAGGTAGACGTAGCAGTGAGTGCTTACAGTGTTAAACACATTACAACCCAACAACAGGGATGTGATGTGTTTTTGAAGGGTTTTGAGAGAATTCAAGAAATTTGAGATGAACTACACAGGTGGGAAAACAAATCAGGACAAACAGTGAGAGGTTTGTTACTAGAACACTGTGAGATCGCAGAGCAGAAATATAAAACGGCATCACAGCATTAAAACAAAACGTAGTGTTACGGCCCGGCTCTTAGACCGCAACAAACAATGGAGAGCAGACAAGGTCGAGTGCCAAAAAGCATATATTTATCGTGCAAAATAAGAAAAAATGAAGCACAAAGCAAAACCAAAACGAAAACAGTCGTGCTGCAAAGTCTGCATGTGTCGCAGAGGCAACCAGGTGGAGTGAGAGCCAGCATCAATGGGACGAAGTTTTTTAACTGCACGGGCCCATGTGCAGTCAATCACCTTGACGACAACTCCGCCTTGATGGAATCCTGCAAAGCGACAATACACAGGAAAACAAGCACACACCTCGTGGCACAGAGAGGTTGTCACAGCAGGCTATATGCGAGTTTCATGTTTGACAACACATTTGGTTTTATCTATGCGAGAAATAATGTGCAAAAATGGCACATCGGGATTGACTGTTGGAAGCAGCTGCTCAGGTGTTGACTCAATACCATTTGGGTCTTCATAACTTCTTACATTGCTTTTGAAATACAGTCACAACTTTTTTTGTGACCCAAACATTGAAAAGTAAGACATTCAAGTTTAAAAACCGAGATTGCTTCAATTTAAAGCTGTGTTTTGTCAGAATGATTCTTTTGTTTTTAGAAAGTGGGAACACACTTATGCATTCATTATTTTAGTGAATGTGTGCAAACTGCGGCTCCAACATGATAAAGGGAACTTTACCGAAGTAATGATTGCTTTATAACTAAAGAGGATGTGCATTGACTACAGGGGCAGAGGACCCAGTCTCAAAAAGGCCAGCAGGCAAACTGTAGCATGGCATATTCACTGCTGAAGCAAAATTGCTTATTTTTGTGGTGGCATTATGTCGACCCCTCATTAAAATGAAGATGTCCTCATAACTGGCACAATCATAACGCATACTCCTAAATAAAATGATGTTTAGCCAAATTACAAATGCCAAAGCCTCATCACCACCACCTCATTTGTGCTTCTGGGACCCCTAGTGGGATAATTTGGAAATGCTGCACTTTTCTTAGAGGCAGCAGTGATAGATTTTAA